TATTCCTGGTGCTATTTCTGGTGCTATTTCTGGTGCATTTGTTTGTGCTATTCCTGGTGCTATTTCTGGTGCTATTTTTTGTGCTATTGTTTGTGCGATTTCTGGTGCTATTTTTTGTGCTATTGTTTGTGCTATTTCTGGTGCTATTTCTGGTGCTGTCGCTGGTGCTATGTGACTAACAATCACCATCAGCAGACCCACAAAAAACAGCACCCGGTAAATGCTAAGCTGCTAAAATTGACTGGGATTCCTGGTGCTATTTCTGGTGTTGTTGTTTGTGCTATTTCTGGTGCTATTTTTTGTGCTATTCCTGGCGCTATTTCTGGTGCTATTTTTTGTGCTATTGTTTGTGCTATTTCTGGTGCTATTTCTGCTGCTATGTGACTAACAGTTACCACCAGCAGACCCACAAAAATAAGCACCCGGTAAATGCTAAAATTGACTGGGATTCCTGGTGCTATTTTTGGCCTGTGTGTTATAAGGCCACGGCGTTATTTGACTGTTAGTGTGGACCGGCCGAACCCAAGGTTTAGGGTTTAGGGTTTTAGAGTCTTGAGGTTTTAGGGTTTTTGGATTTTCTAAGGTTTTGGGGGTCGGTCATCGGGAGCTTTCACGATGTCGCGAAACCGATTCGCACTCTCCGTCGTTTGCTGGGTTGGGCCCGAGCAAGACACGATCGAGCCGGCCGACCACTAAAGTTTGTTTAGGGTTTAGGGTTTATAATACGCGTTAGGGTTTTTGCGGTTGCCGTGATACGCCGAGAAGGTCTTCTCAGCGTCGTGCAAAGCCGCCTCCAAGTGTGTGGATCCTCGTCAACGCCACCGTTGCTGCTGGCGAGACTTAAGCGCCGAACCACTGCCCAGAGCCTGTGCGAGAACTTACTGGCAGCTTTCGACGTGTCCAGGGTCTTCGCGTTACGCGTTTTTCCTTGCTTCGTTCTTCACCGTCAATGTTAGAGTCTGTTGGAGCAGCAAGGTGAGGCGCCCAAGTGCGCGCAGCAGTCGTGCGCAGGGCACTAGCAAAACAGGGTTTTGGGGTTTTAGGGCATGCATATATATATATATATATGTATGTGGATATGTATACATGTATATGTGTATGTATATATGTATATATGTATATATGTATATATGTATATATGTATATATGTATATATGTATATACGTATATACGTATATACGTATGTATGTATATATGTATATATGTATATATGTATATATGTATATATGTATATATGTATATATGTATATATGTATATATGTATATATGTATATATGTATACATGTATACATGTATACATGTATACATGTATATATGTATATATGTATATATGTATATATGTGTATATGTATATACGTATATATGTATATATGTATATATGTATATATGTATATATGTATATATGTATATATGTATATATGTATATATGTATATATGTATATATGTATATATGTATATATGTATATATGTATATATGTATATATGTATATAAATATAATTATATATATATATATGTAAATATGTATATACCATTTATCTATTTATTGATCTTTCGGGGGTTGGTATTGCTGTCGGCTTTGGAGCAAAAGAACACAACTCCTCGTCACTTCTGGTGAGCAAGCAGGAGCAAAACCCCATCTGGACTTGGGGAGGCGAGCGGAAGGCCCGGCCGAAACGAACTTCGTTTATTGATCGTTTATTTATCTTTTGCTACTATTCATTTAAATATGTATTCATATAATGGCTGGGGGGGTAGTATGTCAACGTTGGACCGGACTTTCGCATAACATGTGTTGGCCTCCTTTCGCTCCACCGCCCTTGCGACGGCACGCAAGCCGCAGGCAACGAAGCCTGGTAGGGTGCTTTAAGTTATGGGGGGGGTTTAGGGATTAGGGTTTAGGGGATAAGGTTCAGGCGTACCCGAAAGAGCATGGCACGCAAAGATTTCATGTTGGGCACAACAGGGGCGACTCCCGAGAAACCCCAAACACGAAAACCCAAAACCTGAGGATTCCATTGTCGGGTGGCGGGGTCTATGTTTGCCAATCGGTCTATATACAGGGTCCGCAAGCCTTCATGGGGCTCAGGGCTTTTCATGAAGGGGTCTAGGGTTTAGGGTTTATAGGGTTCATAGGGTGTAGGGTATAGGGTTTAGGGTTTAGGTGTACCTTTTCTTTCTGAAAAGAGTAAAAAAAGTTGCCTAGAGACATCCATTTTGGGTTTCGCCTGAAATGTTTAGTTTTAAATAAGTGTAAGCATGTATTTTGCCCAGAATTAAAACGGATTTTCAATAAGTGTCATACTTCATTTTGCCCAGAATTGAAAATATTTTCCAATACGTGGGATATTTTTTTACCCAGATGAATATATTTTGGAGAAAAAACTCTTGGATAAACTAAAAGAAAAACATTTTGGCGAGAAATATTGGTTTCCTGTGAGTATATATATATATACACATATATATATATATGAAAAAAGCCAGAAACTTCCAAAAACCAAGCGTTTATTATTGAATTATGAGTCTTATTGAACATTGTAAATATGAACTTATTATTTTATGATTATGCTACTTGTCATCTGGTCCAAAATATTGGTTTCGCCAGAAATTTATGACAAAATTTTGTAGGGCTCAAATTCCAAGAACTCTTCATGAGTCCAAAAGCCTGATGTGGAGGGTCCCGAGTGAAGGGTGTAATGTTGGGTCCCGAGGGTAGGTTCGTAGAAGTTGTCCTTTCGCTGGTCAAGGGGTACGAGCTTGGGGTGTGCTGAATGATTCTTCGAGCTACGCAGCGAGCGCCATTTGCGTCCTTGAGACGCCTCGAATTTTGCCGCACCCAATGGAAAATCTATTTTGGTTCTGCTTGATGGCTGCCGTGTCTGCGGTCCATCTCAGTCGGGGCTGTATGGTTACGCTTTGTAGACCAGGTTGGTCCCCAAGACCATTAACAATTTCTTAAGAAGGTTCTCTGTTTTAACTCAAGCAGGAACAAGGCACGCAAACAAGCGTTCCCGAGTCAATGCAAGCAAAGGCGTCCTTCCAGGAGTTCGCCCCGCAGAACAACGTGGCCCACGCTATGCAAGAGCTGGGGGCTCGCACCCGGCCCACGTTGCAGTGGACATACACCTCCTGGCCCTGGGCAACCGCCTCACGCACTCCACTGATGGCTTTGACCCACCTCAGGCAGGAACATGCTATATGCGTTTCTACAAAGGTCACACAAGGTCTGGGGCTTGCTGCGGGGTCTAGATATAGGGCCTGCCCAACGCATCCAGACGAGGAGCCGCCCGAAGTTCGTGGCCAAATGATTGATACTGCGAGGGATCACGGCCGTCTGCGGCATCTTCTCGCGGAGGCTATCCTTCTCTTCCAGAAACTTCCTTGGAAGAGGTAGCAACAAAGGTTATAGGTTGTGTTTCAGGGAAGAAGGGTTCAGATATGCTTGGCAGCCATATACACATACAAGGGGATGAAAGCGTGCCCCCCCCCCCCCCCCCCCCAACCCAAAAAACAGCCGATTCCTGTGAACGGTAACAAATGCAGCTGGGTCGCGATTGCAAGGTGCATCCAGACTGTCTCGCCAGCCTTCGTCAGCTTGCGCTGCTCAGTGGGCCAAGGCGCTCCTTGGGGGCGTGGTAAACGTTGTAGACATTCCGAGACCTGGGCAGGCTTCGGGTGTGCAAGTAGGATGCAACAAAGGGCGTGAGAAGCACGCCTATGATGCTCCCCGGCTCCACTAATCTCCGCTTGTCCTCCCGCCCTGCCAATGCGCTCACAAGCCTGTGAATTCGTCAAAGCTTTCCAGGCACTTCAATAAAATTGAACCGGAGAACTGGTCCATCAACCTTCCTCGCCCACGTAGAATCTGCAATCTAAACCAGAACCTCCCACGTTGACGGCTTGCGCTGGCCTGTGCACTCGTAGCGTCCGAAGACGGCTACGCCTGGTGCTTTCTGGCCGGGCGCTCTGATCTCCAGCCCGGCGGCGCTGGCCGTTCCAGCACCTTCGCGAGGAGTGCACCAAGGAGGCAGCTCCTCCACGAAGGCTTTCAGAGCAGTCCTCTTCCTGGAGGAGCCTCTTGACCCAAAAAAAAACGTGAAAAAACACCGTTTTGGAGAAAAGCACATTTTTCTTGTTCGTACCTAGGTCACAATGTTGCTGGTGGTTGTGTCGTCAGCATGATTGGCATAAATGTTCGTGATACATGTGTCTTTCATTCGCTGCACAGCACGACACTCGAACCCACATTCTCGCATTTTCTCACAGAGCCCGAACTTCTTCAACCAGTGCGGCACAGCCGTCGCCAAGTACCGCTTCACGGCGGTCTTGTGCACCGTGGCGGCATGGCAGCCGGAAGCCTGCAAATGCATTTTGTTCAACGGGAGGTGACCTGTATCCTCAGAAAACACACCCAAACAAAATGGAATTTATTCGGGCTTAATCATAGAGATATGACGAGGTGCAATGCTGCACAGGCGACGCACAAAGTCCTCATCACCGAAGCAGCTGTTGAGGCGTGGGTTCAGAGGTAGCTGGGCCAAGTCGCCGAACATGTGCCACCACGTGTGCTGCCTGCGCACCGCAGTAAACTGAGATTCAACACGGCCTCAGGCTTTAGGTTCACTCCAGGGTTTCTTAGAGTAGATTTCTGGCAAGGCTCTTGGGACGCAATTTGTAAAGTTTCTCTTTGGCAATGAAAGCATCATGGGCCAACCACAGATAGCCCAAAAGAAAGCGTCGGACAAGCTTTCCCGCAGTGGCCACGACATCCGGGGGAAAGGTGTAGATATTGTCTTCCATCAGCTGGATGGTCCCTGCCAGCGACTTGGCAGTCCTAGCCAAAGCACGTAGCACACTTGCTCATGAAACAGCACTTGTAATAATATTCGCCGAGGCTCATTTTCAACACTTTTGCCTTCTCTCGGTCGGCCCAGTTTCGTGTTGCTGGCCCCACGATCTCAGCCTATTCAGGTTGAAAAAATTGACTTGGAAACATTGGGGTTCAAGGCCTAGGACCTAAGGTAAAAAGACATGAACACACGATGCTAGGTTGTGAACCAGGTTCCAGCCAGAGGCAAATGATTTTGATGTCATTTCCTTTCACATTCAAGACCGGGAAGCCATTCTCAATCGTCGGCGTCAGGTCTTCACAACTGATTTCCAGCCCCTTGCTTTTTGCAAAATCGTTCAGGAGATCGTAGGCATCATTCAAAGCAGCCCGTCCAGGGAAGATATTTTTCAAAACTGACGCGGCGTAGTCAGGTCCGAACCCTCTGTAGCAAACATGCAGGGTATCATAATGTATCAGGCTATTGCTCCAGCCTCGGAAAGAAGTGATCGCAGGAAGGCTCGGGTTCGCCTGTTGTAACTCGTCCAAGAAGTCCTCGGCTCAAACCACAACACACTTAAAGCACGAATGTGAAGTTGTGAAACTTGGACACTTGAATCAAGTATCTTCATTGCTTTCACGGCCACAAATTTCCCAGGGTGCATCTTTGTAAAGATTCAGGTAGTGTCCCGATCCAGGCGACATGTAGGCTGGGCCATCCATGGGATCTGAAGTCGAGGCCAAGCGACAGTGCATACACATCCTTCACACAGGTACGAGTATACCCAGAATATTACACACACACACATATATATATATATGTGTGTGTACGTGTGTGCGTGTGTGTGTGTGTATGTGTATGTATGCATGCATGTATGTATTTGCAAAATGTCCATGCTCACACATATACAGACATACATTTATTTCTTTACTTATTGATTTGTGTGTTTAAGTAGTCTATACATTGTCTATGTGTGTGTGTGTTTGTGTGCATGCCAAACACACACATATAATACACATGTGTCGGATGTATATATGTGTGCATGTATTACATAAGTACATGAGCTGTGACTTAAGGTTTGTACATATATGTTTCAGATGCATGAACTGTACACATATACCGTACATGCTGAAAGATACACTGTGTATCAGAGACACGTGTATTTGCAACCATGCGTCCTATTGCCTTTCTCCTCCCCATTGCCTTTCCAGTGTCTGGGACTCAGCTAGCAGGCACCAACGGACATCAAATCAAATAGAGGTAGCACAAACGACTGAGGAGCCCACAAATGCAGCACTTGCTGTAGCCATTTCATATCACCAGCTAAGCCGAAGAAGCACAGTTTTCGATCGTGGACGCCATCGAGGCCGAATCTCCTGGGACCATATGTTGAACTGAAGCTTTGTATGTGTACCCTCTTATAAGGATGTACAGATGTACATTAACCACCACAACATACATTGCAAACAAGCATCACTTTCTCAAAATCCTCACGGATGTGTCGAAAAAGAACGTCCAGTGTAGCTTCGTGATCCAGCCCCACCCGCTGGCCTTTTTGCATCGCCCTTGTCAAGAGAAAGTGCCCTGGTAGAGCACCTGCCCATGCGCATACGTAGAATGACAGACAGACACATACAGATCCGAAGACACTTAGACAGTGCGGCCAAGATGCACAAGGTCAGTCTTGTGAGCAGTGTGTCCTGAGTTGTTGTAAGGCGAAGGGCCAGCAAATCTATGTGGTGGTATCATCAAATGTATTAGGCAAAGCTCCCCAGAATGAGAGTATGGGAACGACATGTTGACCACAAGGACATTCTTGAACTTCAAGCCCGGCCCCTCGTCGCCATGGAAGCGGCAAGGCAAATCATCAGGACCTGCAAAGAGCCAAATATCACTTTCATTCCAAAGCATGGGTGGCTTCGCAGGCAGCCTCCGTCATAGCCTATGCCAGCTTTCCTGAGGGTATTGGTGAGCCTCAAATAGGATAGTTGGACGTGTGCACGCAAACAATATTTAATAAGAACCTCAGCACACTCAGCCGAGCAACGTGGCCCGGTCCTCAGGTGTAGAGGTTCCAAAGCAGATTGCTCTGAGCAGCCAGGGGCGCTTCTGCAGCCAGTCCATATAGGCACTCGGGAGAACAACACCTGAGTTCCAATTGCAAGCAAGGGCTACATTAGCTGTTACCACTGGATTTGCATGACTCCTCATACCCACATGTATAAAAAAAATATGTGTGACCCAGCCACTCACTGATTTCATGGCCACCCGTTTTTTCTTTCTGGACAAAACAATCGGCAAGTCGATTTTCGAAACTCTTGGCAAACTCCGAGCGAACAGTTGGTGGAAGCGTTTCTCCGTCCTTCGTCTAGCCAGCTTGCCCGTGATCCACTCCATTCTGCCGCCGCTCTCCCTCTGAGCTGCACCACAGACCTCGCTGATAAAGTTGACGTCTGACTGCTTCTTTTGAAGCCCTGATACAACAACATTTGCGAGATCAGCTTCAGCTAAGCTCTGAAGGCGATACGGTAGCCCCTGTCGCTTGGGAACACGTTCTGGATCAAGTTCAGTTGGTCTCGCACGGGCCAGCTTCACCTGCTTCATCAAAGCCATGTGCTTGGCACCCAGCCTCCTGCACCAAATCACGGATTTTTGTACCACATGTGTACATGCACAATTTTCAAGTAAGCAGAATACTCGGAGTCCTCCGTTTCGAAGATTCATTACCTGCGAGGGTTTCACAGGTAGCTTGCACCAAGCTAGCAGATACATGGAAGTGCAGGCGTGCACACCACTCAAATCACACAACAATTTCTGAGCGGATGCTGCCCTCGGGCGAAGTCTGCAGAGGCAGCTATCGTGAGAGACGAATGCAGGCTCCAAAAGGCCACGGTAGAGGTGTAGTTTGAGGCTTATTTGCAGGGCGTAAATTCAAGGTGGTGATCGTGGCACACTCAGCCAAGCAAACCCTCACCACAAAACCATTGAGATTCGGATGAATCAGATGACGATGAATCTTGCAGGGATCGCTCACGATGCCACCTTGCTGTGCACGCGTGCGACTCCCACTGCAAACTCCTGCCACGGAATGCCAGCCAGCGTGAGTACCAATCAACCTGCGTGCTGACACCAAGTCCTCCTTGCTCTGGAAAACAAAGTAGGCCTTAGCAACATCCTGACAGGGCGGCAGAAACAGAGAGAGAGAGAGAGAGAGAGAGAGAGAGAGAAAGAGAGAAAGAAAGAAAGAAAGAGAGGGAGAAAGGGAAAAAGGGAGAGAAGGAGAGAAGGAGAGCAGGAGAGAAGGAGAGAAGGAGAGAAGGAGAGAAGGAGAGAAGGAAAGGAGAAAGGGGGATTCAGAGAAAGGGAGAAAGAGAGAGAGAGGGAGAGAGAGAGAGAGAGATTCATTGAAAATTGTGTGCATATTTATGCTACCCTATAGACAGGCCTTCAAGCGCTCCTGCCAATCAGTCTCGTCACCCACATCATCGTCGAAGGCTTTCAAGGCCTAGAGGCCCAAGAGGGTTCATATGCAAGAACAAGAATCCAGGCGCCCTAGTTCACAGATCACCAGGCGACATGCAAGTATCTGTCCTGGTACTTCTGCTCCAGCTGAGCCTTGGCCTTTCCCAGGGCTTCCAGCATGGTCTCCGCTTCAGCGAGCCCTTGCAGCTGCAGCTGGAGCCGGGCGTACTGGCCGACCTGCATGCCAACGAAAACACACAAACCACAAAATACGATTTCGCGAGAAAACAGCTGAGCCTGCCTTAGCAAGGACCTCCTTCTCCATGCTCTTCTTCGTCTCCACACGGTTGTAGCGGGGCCAAGCTGACTCTTTCAAGTCAGAGACCCTTGCCTTTGAAAGCTCATACACACCCGTCTTCATGACCTTCACCGCCTTGGTTTTGGCCCCCGCTTTGGCGCCCGATTTGGCACCCGCTTTGGCTGCCTTGGGATTGGCCTTTGGCTCACTCGAGTCGGCAGCACCTGGAAGTGTCGGACGGAATAAAACCGATCATGTTCAACTGCTACTTCATTCTCTTTAACCCTAAACCCTAAATTTGTATCTCTGTCCACACGTAAGAGCCACACCTGAGGCCTTTGGAGATGGCGTGGCAGGGCCATCCTCGAGTGCATTCGTCGTTCCACTCTGGCACCTAGGCTAGTAGATGCAGAGGCGAACCACAGAGACACACACCCGGGCACATAGACACAGAAAATGGTATGCAAGATCGTGGGTTCATGTGTTGCATACTCACACGCACTGTAGCATGTAATGCATGTATGCACACACACACACACACACACACACACACACGCATATATACATGTTATGTACTCACGACGTGCATGTGTGTACATCTGCAGGAAAATATGTCGATAATATATATGGTGTGCTGCTGAGTTTCAGCTCCTCGAAAAGCTTTTTGGCCTCGGGCCTTTGGTCCTGGGAGAGCGGCACCACCCTCGACATGATCTCGCGTCTCTTTTCGAACTGCTCCGTGTCGGACATCTCTGTAAAGATGTTGAACATGAGATTGTTGCTGTTTGGCGGGAAATTCGGATCGTCCTGGGTACCTCACAGCGTTAGGGCATACTTAGAAGTGATTTTGCACACACGAAACGATTTAGTGTAAACAATTCAAAAACATGGAATATGCGAAGAAAGCTGAGACCACGGCGGCCCTCCTCGATCGCCCACGCCATAGCCTCATCCGCTTTGTCCGTGTTTGGGTGGTAGTGCCGGTAGACCTGCTCCGGCGTCAGGAACTCCTTCTTTTTCAGCTCTTGCCTTGGAGCACATATATATGTCTCTGTGTGTGTGTGTTCCCACACCACCTAGGTTTGAAGCACTGGACTTGCATGTCTTGCAACTGGAGCTAAGCACCCAGCTGGCGCATCAAATCTGCCATGATGAGGTCCACCGTCACCTTGTTAACATCTCCGGACTCGATGTACTCCTTGATGAGATTCTTGCGCGAGCTCCCTTGGGCCCGCCAAGCCTGGAGAACCTCGAAGGTGCAGCGGTGCGGGTTCGCACACAGACGTCTCACCTGTTGAACTGCCGCAGCAGCCGCTTTCGCCGGTGTGACAGCCGACGCCTGAAAGCACGTTGAAATATATCTCATATAGTGCTCACCAGCAAAAAAAATGAAGCGGCTAGCTATTGTAGACT